GCCCCCCCAGCCACTCTGGAGGCAATCCTTGCATAGCAAATGCCTCTGGTGGAGGAGGAGGAGGCATCCCTGGGCCCCCTTGCATATGCATATGCTGCGGAATGAACATAGGGGGCCCCCCATGAGGAGGGGGGCCCCCCATGTCCATTCCTAAGGGGGGGGGCCCCCCCATCTGGGGCCCCATTAGCCTTGGAGGCATTTCTCCTCCAGCAGCAGCAGCAGCAGCAGCAGCAGCAGCAGACCCTTCAGGACCTAAAGAGGGGCTGTGGGGTCCCCCAGCCCCCCGCATAAAAGGGGGAGGAGGAGGATGCATATGCTGTCCAGGGGGGCCCCCATGGGGGCCCCCACCATGGGGCCCCCCACCATGAGGGCCCCCATGGGGGCCCCCATGGGGACCCCCTACAGTGTCAACAAAGGGGGGCCCCCCAGTTGGTGGGGGCCCCTCCATTGGGGGAGGCAATCCGTTGGGGCCCCCAGGGAAGGGCCCTAAGGGGGGCCCCCCTAAGGGTACAGCACCACCTGGGGGCCTCGGTGGGGCGTGGGGGCCCCCAGGGGCCCCCATTGACATAAAGGGAGGCATGCCGGGGGCCCCCATTGGCCCAAAGGGGGGGCGAAGACCCATGGGGCCCCCGTAAGGCATCCACGAACCCCTTCCCCGACCTGCGCATACACCCCAATTATTAATATTATATTTTATTATATACAAATAATAATAATAATAATAATATTATTATTATTATTATAAACCCTAGCAAACCCTAATCATTAAACCTAACAATACACCCTAATCATAAACCCTAACATAAACTTTCTCAAACCCTAATAATAAACCTTCCTAAACCCTAATAATAAACCCTAATAAGCTCTGGTAAGCCCTAATAAACCCTAGCAAACCCTAACAAACCCTAGTAGATTATATCAAACCCTAGAAAACCCTAGCAAACCCCAATAAACCCTAGCAAACCCTAATAAACCCTAACAACCGCCTATAAAACCCTAATAATAAACCCTACTAATAAACCCTAATAAACCCTAATAAATTCTAATAAACCCTAATACACCCTAATAAACCCTAATAAACCCTACCATCCCCTGTTAAACAATAAACCCTATACCTTTCTCTTCTGCTGTTGCTCTCACCTTGTGAGGGCCTCCCTGGGGGGCCCCCCCCCATAGATGATAGGGGGCCCCCCCCGCCTAAAGCCTCTGCTGCAAGTGCTGCTTGAGAAGGAAGGGGGCCCCTTGCTCGCATGCTGCCTGGCTGCTGCTGCATCGAGTCAGCAGCATGAGGGGGGCCCCCCCCAGAGGCGGGGGGCCCCCCACCCCCTGTACCCCCTCTTCTCGGGGCCCCATCCTGAACATAAACCCTCGTAGACCCTAAACCCTAAACCCTAAACAATATAAACCCTAATGATACACCCTAATATAACAGTATTAACCCTAATAAACCCTACTCAAACAATGTAAACCCTAGGCCGTAAACCCTAATAAACCCTAGCGAAGCAATAAAAACCCTAATCAGTAAACCCTAATAAACCCTAGCACACCACCAGCACAAGAAAACATGGATACAGAAACCCTAAACCCTAAACCCTAAACCCTCAAACTCAAATCAACCCCAACATGCAGCACGCAACCAGGCTAAACTCAATCCAAACCCTAAACCCTAAACCCTAAACCCTAATAAGCCCACCCGCCTGCGACGCCCGCTGCCTGAACCTTCTACATTCCCGGGCCCTCCTGAATAGCCTGCAAGCACCCAAACCCTAAACCCTAAACCCTAGCAAACCCTAATCAACAAACCCTATACCCTAAGCTACGCTGTACGAGTCGCAATGACGCTGTCTAAGCAGGACCCTAAACCCTAATCAAATCCTAAACCCTATCTACACCCCAAACCCTAAACCCTAGACAAACCCTCAATCCCAGCAAAACCATAAACTCTAGCAAAACCCTAAACCCTAGCAAAACCCTAAACCCTAGCATCCTGACCTGAGCTGTCTGGCTCTCCCTCTTCCTCCTGCACCGCACAGACACCCTGAAAACCCTAAACCCTAAACCCCAAACCCCAAACCCTAAAGCCTAGTTCTCAAGGCGTTCGAGGTAACTTAGCTGCTCGTGCATTTAGGGTTTAGGGTTTAGGGTTTAGGGTTTACCCATCCTGGAGGGGGATGCTGAGGGCCTTCGTCTTCGTTGCCCCTCCGCCACGAGTGTGAAGCCTGTGCATAAGAGCCAAACCCTAAACCCTAAACCCTAAACCCTAAACCCTAAACCCGCCCCACTATGCCGCCTACCGTGGTTCCTCTTGCAGCACGCATGCCGGGTTTGTGTAGGGTTTAGGGTTTAGGGTTTAGAGTTGGAAGGGTTGCTAATAAACCCGTTGAGGGTTTAATTAGGGTTTTGCTGTGTTACAGTGTACTAAGAGCCTAGAAGGCAGACAGCTGCTGCTGCTGCTGCTGCTGCTGCTGCTGCTGCTGGCATACCTTGTCTCTGCTGCTGCGGTCCCTTTGAGAATGAGGTGCAGCGGCAACCTCTGCTGTTTTGTCTAGTCTTTCTGCTCTGTCTCTGCGCTTATCTTTGTTTCTGCTGCTGTCTCTATTTGTTGCGGTGTATGCAGAGCAAGATAGAGAGGCCCCTGAATATAAACCCTCATGACCTTCACCTCTCTCATCTTTAACTTGTCTAGCACCTTTATCTCTTTTCTCTTGTTTATCTTTTTTATCTTTCTCTTGTCGCCATCGCCAGTCTTCTTCTTCTATATTATCTTTAGGGGGCCCCTCAGGGGCCCCCGAATGACCATGGGGGCCCCTACTGTCTCTATCACGCCCCCTCATTTCAGGGTTTCATATAAACCCTAATTCGAGGGTTTAGGGTTTAGGGTTTAGGGTTTAGGGTTTAGGGTTTAGGGTTTGGGGTCCTGAATCGAAGGCCTACGTAAAAAAAGAGGCCCTACACGATAATTAGCAAGAGATTTCCTATAACCCTTTTAGGGTTTAGGGTTTAGGGTTTAGGGTTTAGGGTTTAGGGTTTAGGGTTTAGGGTTTAGGGTTTGCGCGGCAGGTGCCAGGAAGAAGTGTTGGTGGTGAAGGCTCAGCATACCCCTACATGCAAAACCCTAAACCCTAAATATAATGCTTCTTTCAGTATTAAATTAAAAACTCATCAAGAAACCCTAAACCCTAAACCCTAAACCCTCAACGCCGGTGCTGCATGCATAGGGGGCCCCTTTGGGCAGTCCGCTATGAAGGGGCCCCAAGCCCACTATAACCCTAAACCCTAAACCCTAAACCCTAAACCCTAAACCCTAAACCCTAAACCCTAAACTCTAAACCCTAATTTCTAAACCCTAAATCCTAAACCCTAGATGATGAAACTGGGGAGTTAAGCCCGAGGCACTAATTGCAGCGCACTCCCTCCTAACCCTAGGCAAACCCTAAACCCTAAACCCTAAACCCTAAACCCTAAACCCTAAACACTAAACCCTAAACCCAAAGAACTAAGCCTTTAGCATTAGACATAAACCCTAAACCACGACTCCGTGTAGAGCGAGAGCGTATCTAAAGATGAGGGTTTAGGGTTTAGGTACAACTAAGCTGAGGGTTTAGGGTTTAGGTACAACTAAGCTGAGGGTTTAGGGTTTAGCTACATCCAAATAGACAAAGAGCTTAGCTGCGAATTGTTTAAAAGCAGCAAACTGTCTGTCTCCGTACACCTCAAGGGCTCTCTAATGCTAAGAGAGAAGAGACAGCCGAAGATAATATATAATGCTCGGTAGTATATAAATATGCATGCAGTATATATTTAATATACTGCATAATATAATATATAATACTTATTCACATATATATATATATATATATATATATATTTATATCTATATATATATATTTATATATATATAT